GGTCTACACTCTGCCCAACACACAGGATGGTCTTGTAAAGTGTGAACTACATCACGTCTCTCGTAGCTCAGAAACCCTGCAGTGGCCTTCTGTCACACCCAGAATAAAAGCCCAGCTCCGTGCTGTGTCCCCACTCCCGCCCCCCATTCCCACCTTTCTCTGTCTCGCAGTGACCAGGCTTGTCCCCTAGTCCCCTTGCAGGACACCTGCCTGGAAGCTCCTCCTCCACCATCTCCACCTGTCCCCTCCTCCTCTCTGGGTCCAAACTCAAGCATCACCTTCAGAAAGCCTCTCTGACTCTCCCAGCTAAGGCAACCCCCAACACACAGAGCGCCCCAAACGCTACCCGATTTCCTGACTGTCTGCGTGTCATGGCGACGATCCAGTCTGAACCCGCATTACGTATCACTCCCGCGCACGTCCTCCGGCTGTCTTCCTCCTCACACGGCACCGAGGAGGCCGGGGCTTTGTCCAGCTTTCTCACTGTGCGCGTCTCAGCTCCTGGCATCTGGCAGGTCCTCAACCACCGAGTCTGACGCACTGACGCTGGGTCCCAGCAAACGCCCTTCTTGCTTTAGGTCTTTCTCCAGCCGGCCCCCACCCTCCTCTGTAACTCTGCCCCTCCCTCTGCACTCGCCCTCCCGCGCCCTTAGGTCTTCTCCACGGAGGAAGAGAGCCCCTCGCCCAGCCCGAGCCCCTCGCCCAGCCCGGGCACAGCCCATCTCCTCCTTCCTGCTCGGGCAGGGCTCTGGGAGGAGTGTCCACGCCCTAGAGCTCACTAGAACCTGGTACCGCCCGCTGCTCCTGACACCTATGACCCCTGGGAAGCAAGGGGAGGAGGGCGGCAAGTTCTCACCAGAGAGCATCCCGAATCGTTTAGATTTTATTCCATGTGAGTGCAACTGCCTATTCAAAAAATAGTGAAATTAAGATCGAAACCGGAAAAGTACGTGCAGCCGTCACTTCTTTGCCCCTCCTCATTACTTAGGCAGGTAGATCTCGACCAGGTGTAATTTTGCCCTAGAGAGGGGACATCTGGCAACGTCTAGAGAAAATTCTGGTTGTCACAACTAGGGAGGGCTACTGGCATCTGGTGGATAGAGATCAGGGATGCTGCAAACATCCTACGGTGCACGGGACAGCCCCCAACAACGAATGATCCGGCCCTACGTAAGGCAGTGTCCAGGCTGAGAAGTCCTGCAAGCTCGCTCACAGCAGACTGCGTTCCGCTCCCAGGCACTCTCCTGGCCTTGCACGGGTCACACCTTCCACTTGGGGCCACTGCGCTGCGTCTGACGCCTCACACGTTAAGCCACGTGTTCCTCGTGGCAGCCCCGAGGGGCATTATCAGCTGCTTACGCAGAGGCCCAGGATGGTCAAGTAAGCCTTCGAGGTCACTCAGCTAAGCCAAGAACTGAAACCAAGTCTGGCTAATCCCAGAGCCCACATCCTTGACCTCCGGCTGTGCTGCCTTCCAGAGTGACTTCTGTGCATTATACGGCAATGTGACCAGCCAAATTCTCCAGCCAAATCTCTTCCAACTGGGCTTCTGTGACAGCTCTCATTCTCCGGTCTTCCACCAACTGTCCCCTGATTCAAACTCCTATATGGCCTCCTGGTCCTCCGTCCGGAGCCCCACCACCTCTCAAACACTCAGCCCCTCTGCACGCTGGGGGTCCGCATCCAGCAGTGTCCAGAAACATCCGTTTTCCCCGGCATCACTGCGGCGATGGGAGAACTGAGCTGAACACTGCGTGTTCTCAGGCTGCCACCTTGTTTCTTGCTCACTGGGGAACCAGGGAGGGAGTAGAGGACCTCCGTGCTGATGCCGATGTTGTCCTAACAAAGTACGTGAGAGCCAGACGAATCTCATGGGGATGCATCACACAATTTAAGCATCTGCCAGATGCAGTGACGATGCGCTCGATACTCTGAATCAATTCCATGTCAGTGGAACCTTACAGGGAATTGTTCTGTAACTGGGGTTCCCTGTCTATCAGCTGAAGTCGTGGTGACTCCCCAAAGAGTCACTAGCAGAAATGGCAGCCAACCCAGATGGTGACAGCGCACCCTCTAGCGCCTTCAGCTCACTGCTGTCCAGCCTCCCGATGCTGGGAGGACCGGGAAGCACGGAGGAGTCTAACAGAGACGGGCGACAGAGTCAGCAGAAAGCCGGCAACAGAGCAAATTCTAAACTTCACGAACATTCTACAGAAAAGGCATCTCAAATACTTTCTGAAACTCAAACACTCAGTACCTTTTTTTAAGGCAAAACCAAATGGACTTGTTCTTTTCTTGGCCAAAGGATAATGAAACTTAGTGTTTAGCCAGCTTTGTTATCATTTATTAATCATCTAAAATGGTATATTTCCCTAAAATCATCTTTTAAAGCCCCCCAAGGTATAAGAATCTTTTTTTTTTTTTTTTTTTTTTGCAAAACTGATGTTGCTTCTATAAAGACTTAATATGAGGCACTGAACAAAAGCAAACTATCTCAGGCTACACTCAGGCTTCAACACGAAATTAAAGATTGCTTCTGGGGTACTTTTTAATGGAAAGTAATGCAGGGAGGAAAACATCCTTGCATTATGCTTAAATGAAAATTAATATGCTCCTACATTAATTAAAACTTGAACCTTTGCCACAGTGATGTTAATTAAAGAACAAGAAATGGAAATATGTAATCTAGACCAAACGTATAACTCTGCCAGTTAACTGACATCAAAGCTGAGAGAAATTAATTTTTACTTCACTTCATTAAATTCTTAGGCAATGCACATGAAAAGGTCACCGGGAAACGGGAATTTACTTGCAGCGTGGATATTACATGCACACCATAAAAACTGCCAACCCCCAAATCACGATTCCCGCGTAAGAAATGATGACCCGGGCAAAAAAATAGAATTTCAGGAGCGATTTTAAAAATCGATCATGGCATCTGGTGCTCTTTCTGGAACGCAATATATTCTAGAAGAGTCTCAGGCATTAAAATGTTTGCGCTCCTCTGTGGAGGCTGACATTATTGAAAATTCAATTTCACATCCAATAATACATCTCCCGGAATGGCATGGAATACTTACTGGGGTGGGCAGTCGGAAGGCCTGAATCTGGTACTTGCTCACGTGACCCAGAACCGCTTCCTTAAATGCTCGGGGCGTGTTCTCTAAGGTGACAATGCTAGAGCGTGTATGTGACCTTAACACAGGCGCGGCGGTGAGCAGCAGGAGGATGGGCCACGCAAACATTCACGCCCTAATGCCCGCAGCATGGGAGCATGGTACCCCACCTGATGGAAGGGACCTCAAGGATGTGATTCGGTTGAGGATCTGGAGGTGGGGAGACTATTCCACATTATCGAGGTGGGCCCAGTGTAACCACGGGGGTCCTTAGAAGAAGGAGGCAGGAGAAAACACCATAGTCCCTTCCCTCAGAAACCTACGAGGGACAGAAGTGACTGGGGAACATCTTGGCCGCTGGGTCCTTCCTCCTCAGCTGTCCCGCAGTGCCCTGCTGGCACCCGCCAACCCCTGAGCACGGGGCAGGGAGTCTTCTCCAGAAGTCGACAGCTTTGCCTGCATCGCCGTGCGCCGCCGCTTAAACGCAGCTGACGGACAAGCACCCCTGCCCTTGGTTTGAGACTGCGACATCATTGTGCAAAGACCGCACTTTATTGGTGGTGTCTTCCTATGCTACCGTTTGAGCACATACTCCTCAGTATCAGAATAAGAAATTACAGAGTCCCGTGAAGATGTTGTTTCAGGAGTAGAAGTGGAATACAAAACCAAATGCAGATGGGGAGCATCAGCTACATTAACCCAAAGAACATGAAAAGTTCCCATGGTACCAAATGACTCAGCATTTCCAGCCACGGCAATTTTCTGCAGTCTGCCCCTCTGCCCCCTTCTCCTCCCCTCTCCCCGACGCGAGCATGGGGTGGGCTGTGTGTTCTTGACATTTCTAAGCTGCGCTCATATTCAACCAGCCACCTGATTTCAGAGACGGTTCTCCCGCCAAAACACAATGCCTCTTAAGAGCCAAGAGACATCCAGTTGTTTCTCCTTCAACCTGATATATGTATGTGTAACACGCATATACGCACACACATATACACATATATATATCAAGAAGACCAAAAATACCCCTGAAGAGATTAAAAATAAAACCTAGACCCTTTCAGAGAATGTCAACTGATTACAGAGAGTCTTAGAAAGTTAACTGAAAACTTAGGGCATGGAACAGTTCGACCTTGGCATATTTTTTGCAAGGCAATGATGTAAGTTTGGAGGCACCGAGCAATGATGACGTCATCAAGCAGATGCCCACGCCTGTCCCAACAGCCACAGTAACGTCTATTTCCTGTCACTCCACCCCAAAAGGTGTGAAGGACGTGACACAAATCTCTAGCCCACGACTCCAGCGATTTACTGTGACTCTAGGTGTCCACTCTCTCCTCTGTGATTCCTGGACAGGGTCAAAAACGATGCAATGGCTCTAAAGGTCTTACATATTTTCAAGTTTAAAAAAAAAAAGGAAGGAGACACACAAGAAAGGAATGATAATGTACTGAGAGCCAGACACTGGTGTCCTCTCCGCCACCCCGTGAGATGGCAGCTGTGAACACCATCTTGGGTGAGGGTCCGCGGTGGAGAGCTCGAGTAACCTGCCCAAGTGCACAGCTAAAGGACACAGTCTCACGCCCACCTCGCCATCCTGCTCTCCAGTGCCAGGAAACTGCTGTTCACGAAAACACAAGGATGGGTGGCCTTAAAATTATCCTGAATTTTTTATGCTGTTCGTCATCAGCTCTGTCACCAAACGTGCTGGAGGACACGGTCAATTCATTTGTTTTAAATTAAGATGCATTTTATGGCGATTCCAGCAAGCGGAGCTTCACCCTGCACCAGCACCTGCACAGACCAGTTTGCAGTCCCACATCCCTGTTAACCAGAGAAAGGTTTATAAAACTGTCTTCAGCTTCAAATAGACGCAGGACTTGGGAAAAAGTAGCAACTAACGTTCTGTATGGTGCAATCATTTTTTAGTTGAATTGCTGAAGTCTGGATATAAATACATTTCTTTGTATGGCAGTAGTACATGCGCTAAACCCTCTCAAGTGGGAAAACGTGCTTACTTACTGCAAAAAGAAGCAAAAATCCCCAAACTTTTCACTGTTAGAGGTTCTCATCCATTCTCTTTAGTTTAAATGTTCTAAATGGTTTTTTTTTCATTTTTAGGACAAGTAATCTGAGCACTAAAATAAATATTTTTGGCTAATCTAAAAAAGCTCACCTATAATTGTTTGCCATAGCATTATTTATAACTGCAGTAAAAGAAAAATCTGGAAACCCTATAATGTTCAACAAAAGGGGAATGTTTAAATAAAATGAGGCTGTGCCACTTGATGATGCATTACAAAAAAGCCCTGAGAAATTATAATTATGAAGATGAAAAGAAAAAAAGCATGTCCATGTTAATCAACGTTAAGTACAGACAGTAAGTCGGGAACTTTTGTTTATGCAAAATGTACACGTGGACAATGAAGAGAAGGCAATGCTGATTATGAATGTTACCAGGAGGGCAGTGAGATCTGTGGGTAAATTAGGACTTTTTTCATTCTAGATTTCCATTAACGTTGCCCTAATGCTATCCTGGCAATAAGAAACACAGATAAATACTAATGAGGAGGAGGAAGGCACAATAATGATGAAGAATTAACAACACTCAACATTCAGGGATTAAGGTCACACTGCCAGGTATCCCGGTTCTTCTCAATGGGACGAGGCCCGCTTCGGACGAGCAGGGGCCCCAGAGAGGGCACGTCACTTACCTTGCTGGACGAGCGCGTCGGCTGCCAGCTCCCCGCCGCCCACGTTGGCGTACTCCTCGTTGGGATGCTTCCTGTTGTAGTGCCGCTTCAGGGAGCCAGATATGTTGCACGAGTAATGGCAGTGGGCGCAGCGGAAGGGCTGCAGGGCAAACAACGCGGTTAGGGGAAGGCGAACCCTGGCCGAGACCACGCCCCTGGCCGAGGCCACGCCCCAGCTGAGACCACGCCCCCAAGGAGAGGCACGGCTCCCCTCTGCGCGTCACCCCACAAAGAGCAGGCTCATCCTCCTGGGAAAGATGTGACCTTGGTGTTTAGTCCTGCCTCTGTGGAACCAACCAAGTGACCGGGCAAGGTGTCCCCAGACTAGGAGGGTCTACTCTAAATTCGGTTGCTTTCATTTTTTCTTTCATTTTTGGGGGAGAGGGGGTCCAACCCAGAATTTACAACTTGCTCAAGAAAAAAATAACAAAAAAGCAATACAGTAATCTATCACTTTTTTTTTTTTAAGTGAAAGCCTTTCAAACTAGCTTCCCTTACACATTCATTCCCTGATGTTCTTGCTTCTTTAAACGGTTTCGTCCGCAGTGTTACCTGCAAGAACCTGCATATACACAAGCGTCAACCCATCACTTTGTTCACGGTTAGCGAAATCCACCTGGTCAAATCCATTTCCAACGCCAGCCCGGGCAAGACCAGGCACCTTCGGAACGAGGGCATGCACGGGTTGTGCGGCCATGCCTGCCACCACGCACACTGCTGAGGGGTAAGGGCTTCTGCTCGGACGCCAGGGGGAGCCCAGTGAGGCATGGCTGGCAGCTGGGTGATGGGTGTGTATCTGACCACTGTTACATCCCACGCCTTTACTCCTGGTTGGGTCAATTCCGGAGTGTCCCTCCGAAGCATATGCTGTGCAACCTGACACGCGGCCGACAGAGTCCCAGCTCTGCCGTAGGGCCCCACGGGTAACAAAGTACCTCCCAGCCAGCAAGGCTGGCAGGGCGTGGAGCAGTGCATGGCGCCAGGGGTCCAGCTGGGGCACGTTCCACTCGCCTGTGGCACTGACGGACAATGGGACCTCAGGCAGGTGGCGGGACTTCTCTGAGCACTGAATTTCTCACCAGTAAGATGGGGATGATGACACTGCCTTGGAGGGAGGTTGTGAGAAGTAAATGAAATAACGCACACAGGTATCTCGGATGCCACAGAGACGAGCACTTACTGTTTTCAGTAACGATTTTACACAACTCGTGCTGTGCCTGTGGGAGCCGGGGTGGTTTTAAGACCTCAAAACCACCTTGACTCCTCAATGGTCCCAGTCATTCACCTGTCACCACTACCACCCAGAGGAGCGGAACCAGCAACCGCGGGTCTGTGCAGGGGAAGTGGCCGACAAGCAGGGGAAAGCGTCCCCCCCGCTTTGAGGCTTTGCTCAGCCCCTCTTTCAATGGTTTCATCCTTTCAAGCCTACAGATGTGCTGGAGGGAAGCAAATGAAAAGGAAAACCCTGTCCTGTCCTTGTTGGAGTCCCCTAGGCGCCCCCTCCCGCCAGAAGAGCGGCTCCTGCCCACGGCCCTCACCGGTTCAGCTCCCTTTCTCGGCCTCCAACGTGTCCTCGGCAAAACACTGGAGGCACAGGCAGCACCCTCTTTCCCATCTCTGTAGCTGGCTGCCGTCTCCTACTGTGACATTCCTGATGCAGTGACGCTCCTACCACCAGCTTCTCCTGCTCTGAACGGTCTAGGTCTCCTGCCCAGACCTAAGGTTAAATGCCGGCATTCTCCCAGATTCTGTCCTGGGGCCTGTTTTGTTCCTCTCTGTGGTTCCAGTGGCCCTTTTCACCCCGTTGATGGCTGGGGTCTATATATCTAGTTATGATTCTTCCTGAACCACAGAGAGAAATTTTCAACTGTCTTCCAGGTGTCTCTACACGGATGTTCTGTAGGCATCTCAAAATAAACATATGTGACTTCAGACTCGCTGTCTTTCTGCAAAATCAGCTGATCACCCAAAGACAGACACCTGAGTCCTCCTAGACTTCTTGTCCTCTTTCCTTACTGTCCAGCTAATCACTGAGTCTCGCCCAGGCTCCCTGGGAAACCTTTCCAGAATTTACCCCTGCCCCTCTCCCCGTCAGTCCCGCACAGCAAAAGATGCCACCCCAGGCTCTAAAGGGAATGCTACTGCTCCCACAAGGGTCATTCTCAGACAGAAAGGCACAGGGACACTGATGAGTGAGTCACCCTGCTCCGAAACAGTCCCCAGGGGCCCCGTCCTCGGTGTAGGCCACGCTGTGGTCAGGAGATGCTTTGTGCTACACTGCACGTGCCACATTCGTCTTCCACATAAGACAATTCTGTGCTCCGCCCACAGGTACTGATTAAACCAAAGACCTGGAACGAAGGCAAAAATCAGTCCACCTCCCTCACCTGTCTACTGAGCAGAAAATACGAGGTCTAAAATGCCGATACATGATCATCTGCAAAGTTAAAATAAAAGCCAAAACGTTTTCATGCTTTCATCTCTAAATAAGCAAATATAATGCAATTATTCTTGAAACGTTAGCACTTGCACAAAACAAATCAAAAAAGAACAGCCGAAAATGTTCTACTGCCAGCACTGAGTGGTCAGGGGCACAGAGTCAGGTAGGGACAATTAGAGTGAGACACTGTCCCCACACCTAACCTCAGGCTCACGTGCCAATTTCATCCTTGTCACAAAGCAGATAAGCTGCTTCATGAGTGTCAACTCCTTTTATTCCCCATAGTGGAACTGCTAATGAGGAGAAAAACTGCCAAAACATGAGCAGACAGGCAAAGAAAAAAAAATACGTATACACGTGAGCCCAAATGAGAAATCGTTTCTGATCTACTGATTTCCGTGAAAATCCTCAATTCTCCAAGTTGGAAGGAATGTTTTCAAAGATGGACTGTGAGCAGCCTCCCTTCCACGAGGAGAGAGGAGAGTTCTGTGGCCTGTGATGGTCTGAGCTCAGCCTGCGTCAGGTGCAGGAGGCCCAGCCCCCAGAGCCCCCTGCAGGCCCAACGGCCATGGGGGGTTAAGAAGTTAAACCTCCCTGGCTCTTTCCTTCATCGGCCTTGGCTTCGACTTCTTCTGCCCATCGTAACCTTTTACGTGAAATCGGTCAGCACCTAACTTCTACTTGGGGTCCTCTCTCCATACCTGTAACTGAGGTGTTGTCACATCTCAGCAGGGAATTCTGCTGGGGCTGTTGCAAGTGAAGGAGAGAGCAGATGCCACCCCTATGGCCACCACCGGCATAACGTCTGACTGCATGATTAATATCGCGAGTCTTGAGATTTCATTTCTGAAGTGGGGGATGTACTCAGTGCATCTAAGAAAGATTTCAGTCTGCCATCCATGTCATCATCCAGAACATTACAAAAGGGCCCCGAGCTTTGCCGGGTGACCCTGTGTGGGTAATGGCACTTGGCAGTTCAGAGATGCAATGCGATAAAACTTCTCAGAGTGGAAAAGTTTCTGACGGACACGTTTGCCATCGAGGAGCGAGCAGCCGGCCAGCCAGGGCTTTCGTTTCTGTACGTTTGGTCTTGTGAGTCTAGCGCCCAGTGCTTCAGCGGCCGCCATGGGCAGGCCCCCCGGGGGTCAGGCGGTAGGCGTGTCTTCCGCACGTTACTGAAACTCTTCTCACTAAGACCCCTGGAGCCCGCCCCTCTGGTGGCCGGGTCGGGTGGGTACTCGTTAGGCCTTTTCTTGTTGGGTTTCTTGGTGAACTTGACTTTGTTATTCCTCCCTCCATGAGGGACATTATTCCCTAGATTCCGAGACTCCCTGATTCTTCTGTCTGCCGTCACTCACTCTTGTCCCTCTTCTTGAGCTCATCTCTTATTTTACATCCCTGTCCCCACATTCCAGGTGCTGTTCCGATGTCGCTCACATTTTCTGGCAGTGGGTGTGTTCTGTCTCGGAGCATCGGCTACTGTGTTCTGTGCTCAGATCGGTGTCTGTAGCCCGGAACTTTCCTCTGAGTTTACACTCATGTCTCCAACCACTTTCTGGACCTGCCATCGTGGTGTCCAGAGTTCCGTCCTCTGACCCTCTCCTCTCTCGGTCCCCTCTCTCCGCTGGAGGAGTGCCTTTCTCCTGCGTCAGCCGTGCTGGAAACGCGGAGCCCTCCCGGAGGCTCTCCACCTCTGCTGTGGCACAGCTCCTCGGTCACCAGGCCTGGCCGCTTCCGCCTCCTCCATCTCTCTGAAGCCTTTTCTGGTTTTTTGTTCATTTTAGGGCCTCTGTATTTTTCGTCTGTATCATTACAACAACTAGATAATTGGTTCCCTGCCTTCAGTCTTGTTCCTTTCAAATCCACCCTCTGTCAATTCCCACAGTGACATTTGAAGTTGCCATGCCACCCCCCTCCTCGACACTGGCCGGGGACTTGCACTGCCTAGAGTGACTTTCCCGACACGCACACGTCCCGCTGTGGTCTGGCTGCTCTCCGCCCTCACCTCGTCAGCTTGCACCGTCCCCCGCCTCGTCACAGTCACCCAGGGACCGCCTGCCCCTCTCCCAGCCCACCACAGCGCTGTGTGTATTTATGAATATTAATGAATGAGAACTGCTTGGATGGTTTACCTTTAAAAAAAAAAGGAGAAGAAGTTGGTGGTTAGATGCAGCTGCCTTACGTCTAGGAAATCAGAGAATGCCACACCACACCCCCCACCCCCGTTGGGGCACCCAGAGGAGACAGATGCTCAGGAAATGGTGTGAATGGGGAATCACATCACGTCTTTATTGCTGGCTGGGCTTGTGGCCCGAAAGGCAGTGCAGAGAAGTCCGGCTGGGAGACTGAGACCGGACAGATTCCTCAAACGTCTGCGCCTCAGCCTCCATCTGTGAAGTGGGCGTGCTCCGAGAGCTCTTTGGCAGGCTGGGTGCAGGCCCCCAACCCGGAAGCAAGAGAAAAGCTGGTCAGGTCAGTCACCAAGGACCACAGCTGCACCCCAACACCAGGGAGGGGGACATGCACACCGATAAGAAAGAGGGCCAAGACTACATTATGAGAGACGTCGCATGGCTTATAAGGAGTCTGCATCTGAAGGGCCTGCGCCCTCGTCTCCTCCTCTGCCCCCCGCCCCTCCCCCCGCTCCTCCTCAGGCCCAA